TTTATAGCTATCAGGAAAAGTTGTAAAAAATTATCAGGAAAAAGCAAAGGGAATGTCTGTTAGGCAGATTTTAGTGCCTTCTCCACGGGTAGGAATTTCTGGGATTTTGTCATCCTTCTCTTCCTGGAAATCTTCCCTAGAAAAGATTTCCCTTAGAAATTTAAATGTCTCCTGTAACTGCCTGGCTTTCAGAACTACTCCTCAGTCTGCTCTTTCTTAAAAATAATCAGCCTAAAATAGTCCATATGCTAAAAAACGTATTTTGGGGTGGAAAATTCTGTTACCCTTAAGTCGCTAGGCAGTAAAAAATTACAAAGAGTTGTTTAGTGTAGAAGCAGCTAGGCCATCCAGGTGAAATAAACAAGCTTCAAAATATGAGTGGCATCATTTTTACTAAAAGGAAACATTACCACTTTATAAAAGATTTCTGTTTCTCACCTGACATTCTATTTGTTGATATTTAAGACAAGTATTAAATGAAATTTGTTAATTAGATGAGCATCTCCAAGCAATGAATGAGGTGTTACCTTGCTGGAGTTCCAGGATAGACATATGCAAAAACAAGATTTTATTTTAGAGTATTCCTGGTAGGGGAGACTATGATATAAAAACTTAGGAATCTTGCTGATTACTAGTTTCATATAAACTCTTCATAGCCTTGTTGCTCTTTCCAAGGAGTGAGACAAACTGAAGCCAGTCTGAGAAAAAGTTGACCAGTATATTAAGGATAATAGGAAGGTTCTTCAATGGAAGGAAAGATCCTGGAGGTAGGACATTTGCACTGTGCCCTGAAATCATGGGACTTGGAGTTATGTTGGATCCAGAAGGTTGTTTTAGAACCATCTGGTGGAGGGGACAAGGAGTGGATTTTATTTCATGAAAACTGAATTTCAAATAATTCACAGTTGAACCACAATCATGGAGGCTTTGTAATGTAATAACTCCTCAATAAGAAAATTATTACACTATTGGAAACACTGAAAAAGAAAGTGGTGTAGTGTCTGGGAAGGAAATAAAAATATATGGGTCAGCTAGCTTGTACTAGACTTTGTTTTCTGCCCATTATGTATTTTATCTGAGAAAGATATAGTCAAAGCCAGCCATGATATCCTCACTGAAAACCAACATCAACCTGGTTATTCTGACCATGAAGAGCGGGGGAGGGGGGAAGACCACTTAATATTCATGTATAAGCAAACCTGAAAGTGAGTTCAATCTAGAAATTACATGGAAAAGCATCTCTCCTAGTTAATGAGTGCTGATTCTTTATAAAACACAGGCTTAGTCTTCCTTCTAGATAAAATTCATTAAGACACTCAATCATAGATTGATTTCTAGTAGCAGACAGGATCCAACCCATGCCAAGCCCAGCTTCATTTCACTCTCACCCAAATCTTCTCACAGGAGACCCCACCCCCCATCCTCCTCCAGAACAGGCAGCTCCTACAGGAGAGACTTCTCAAGAGAAGAGCAGTGTGGGACTGATTCAGGCACAAGAATGGGGAAAGTAATTGGTTGAAGATGATGGAATATGGAATTGTCAGAGAATATGTGTTTATGGGAGTTGTAATGGGGGTTTGGGGCCATCTCTTCAGAGCCAGAGACCAAGAATCTTTGTGTAGAAGTCATAAAGGTGGTGTTGAGGATGGGAGGGGAGGTAGCATGCACTAGGGAAGGCCTTCTGAGCCCTCCTGTGGAAGACAGACTGACTTCTTTCTCCAGTGCCCTCCTGGGAGCCCAGCGAGAGTCACACCTGCCTCTGTGGTTGGGGTCTCCCATGCCTGTGGCTGTCATGGCCTGAAGCACTCAAGGTAACTCTGGGGACTCCTCCCATGGAGTGGGACTTGCTGATAGGAGGAGAGGAACCTGGACCCTGTCTCAGTCTAAGCATATATCGGAGGCAGGAAAGAGAGCCCTTCATGCTCTGTGACTGGTAGGTGATGGGGGCACCCGAGCGGAGCAATTGGGTTCTGAGAGGTGGGGCCCATAATAAGAGACCTGAAAGAGACAATATTTTGAGATTCATAGTGGATTAGTGGGAAGATGACTTAAATGACTCGGATTTGGAGTGTTCAGTTTTCAGAGTCACAACGTAGTAGATTTAAAGTGTACTTTGAAAGCCATCAAGCCTACTATCCTCCCTAGTCAACACTTAAATCTATTCTACAACCAGAGATTGGCTAGTGCCTGCTTAAAAAATGCTGAGACATGGGTAGATGCATCCTGCCTGCCTGGGCAGAGGTGGAGGTTTCTGAGAAAATCATTCATGCTGAGGCAGCTGTGACAAGGCAAGAGACTTGTGTGTCTCAGCAGCAGCTGTATTTGAAAAATTGGGTGGCCAGAAAGGGTCACACAGGCTGTCTCTAGGAGGCTGAAGACACTTGGCGATGTGAAATTTGAGATGGAGACAACTACAGAGTATTCCTGAAACTCTTCCTTGTTCCAAGTCCTCACTTGACCTGCAAATACAGTTGCTTCAGAAAAGCTAATTTGCAGAAAGACAAAATATCAGTATGGTCACCTACAGCCAAAGGATGAACAAAAAATATGTTTTCAATTACATTTTTCTGGGTGGGTAAAAGTACTGGGGGTTCTTCAACAGGATTAGGAGGTGGGAGGTAAAACTGTCAGAGAGGCTTTTGTTTAGATATATGGAGCTTGAGATATTGAGAGGACAGAGCATGTTCAGGTGCAATTGAAAAACATAACTTACATTCAGGCCACAAAAATTTAGACACATTCACTGTCTTTATGGTATGTTCATTGTTCCAGGCATTGGTAGGGGAATAGACAACAAGTAAGGAGGTGTTGCATGTACCCTCAAAGAGCCTACCAACTTCCAGGAAAGACAGACTCACTACAGAGGCAGCACAGCTGCTACGTGGAAGCTGCAAATGTGCAGGACATAGACCAAGGAAAAGGTCACTTTTTCTGGGGTGTCAGGGAAGGCTTCCCTAAAGAGTTAATGTTTGAACAAATTTTGAAGGATGGCAAGCAGTTGGCCAAAGGAGGAAAGAGGACAAGAGCAAAGCAGATGCAAAGTGAGGAGCGGCAGGTGGCAGAATTGTGATCCAGCAAAGATTTATTTCTACACGACTGTGTCCTGCAATTGCAGAGGTGAGTGCAGGGCCCCATTTCAGCAGAGGAGATCCACGAAGAGAACCTTCAACGCTAACTGCTTTGAATAAATTTAGCCTTTAAAAATACCATGCCCAGGTATTTATTTTAAAAACAAGACACATGGGTTTAGAGGCAATGTTTGTGTTTGGATGAGTGGTGTGAGTTGGAGGGAAAGTTTGGGGGAGTTAATCTATTTAGCAAATGAGTTGTTAAATTAATTTGTTTGATTAAAATCTATTTAATCAAACAATGTGATGTCCTTATGCCTGGTATTAGGGTCACAAAAATGAACAAGAGAGAGCCACTTATCAGCGTGGCTAGAGTTTTGACAGCTTTTTGATGCAGAGTGAACTGTGGGTGGCTGACGCTGGTTATCATGATCATGAATTTAAAGTCATATTGTTGATGTTTCTTCTTGTTCATTTTTGCTTTTATGTTAATTTACTTTTTGCCTCCTCTTTACATTGTGCCTAAGAACAATTTGAGAATTCAACACTTGTTTGCCATGTATTCCAGTCCTATATTTTTATAAGTAGGTTTCTGAAATATAGGACTTATGTTTATGGCCACTTTATGGTGTTTGTTTTCTAGTCAGCTTCTCTCCAATGTTCAGTCTCTCCACTCAGGAATACTTTCCCTCAGCAATACTGCAAGGCAAGCTCACATCTTCATCTCTGAGCTTGGAGTGAAAGTATTAAATATCAGCGATGTTTTAAACTCCCTATCTGGTTATGTAATTTGTCCACTCTCCCTGCCTGCCTCTCTGCACCTATGGCACAAGGGCCTGGATCCCAGAGCGAACCATCGCAGCTCCTTACCACACAGGGACTGGACTTCCCTGCCCACACATGACCTTCTGTGCAAAATATCTTCTCTCTTTTGTTCAATTGTTACTTTCAGGAAAATTCAGCCCTAGGCTTCCTCCTGTGAGAAGCCTTTCTCCATCATCCTGGAGTCAAAATAAGTTCTGAGTGTTCCCTGTGGACTGGACTAAGGGGTGGGTCTACCTGACACCGACGTGGGCCCTGGTGGCTGGAGTCTTACCTGCTATATCTGCATTCCTTGTACCTGCACATCTGTATGTATCCCATGACGGTTTACAGAAGAGAAGTGAGTGATAAGAAGAGACTTTTCCCCGCATTATCCTCATTTACAAAATTCACCCATTGAAACACCAAAGAAGGTAAAATTATGGCCTGGGGAAGGGGAAAACATTTTTGCAGAGGGGACAGAACATTTGGGGATGGGGTAAGTTATTTAGGGAGGGGCCAGGAGATTTGCAGAGGGGACAGGATGTTTTGGAATTTGAAAGGTTGTTTGTGGAGATGGGTGGAATGTTCGGGGTGGATGGTAGATGTTTGGGGAGGAGGGCAGTGTTTGGGAAGGATATAGGGTATTTGGGGAGGGGACAGCATGTTTGTGGGGGGAATAGACTATTTGGGGTGGAGACAGAATATATGAGGAGGGGGTAGAATGTTTAGAGAGGGGCAGCAGCATTTTTGGGATGAACACTTGGTATAGAGATCACTGATGTGGAGTTATGGTACATCCATTTAAAGTCTGTTTCTATTACAGGGTATTGATAAGAAGTAGAAAAGTTTCATAATCTCTCTATTCATGAATTTTATCATCTGAAAATAGGTATAACAACAATCCTCATTGGATGTGCAAATTAAGTAAAATATTGAATGCCAAATACTCATACAATGCATGATGCTGAGTGAGTGCTAAGAGTTTGCTACTATTAATATAAGAGTAATATGGGTAGTAGCAGCAGTAGTAATTAGTGTTGCCTTAAATAAAAGAACAATAAAGAGAAATGAAGTTTCTGAGCAGTCATCTCAAACCCACTTTATTCCTTTCCCCCCACCCAGCCTCCCATGGAGAACCACAACTCCTCCAGGGTATCTGAATTTGTGCTTCAAGGTTTCCCCCAAGTGGGGCCTATCCGGGGCTGGCTTTTTCTCCTGCTGCTGCTGGCATACCTGTTTACTATCTGTGGCAACTTGCTCATCTTCTTAGTCATACGGCTGAATGCAGCTCTACACAAACCTATGTACCACTTTATCAGTATCCTCTCCTTCCTGGAACTGTGGTATACAGCCACTACCATCCCCAAGATGCTGGCTAATCTTCTCAGTGAGAAAAAGACCATTTCTTTCACAGGTTGCATCCTTCAGATCTACTTCTTCCATGCCTTAGGGTCCTCTGAATGCTTTCTTCTTACCGCCATGTCCTATGATCGATACCTGGCCATCTGCCGGCCCCTCCACTACCCTGCAATTATGACCTCAGCACTCTGTTTCAAGATAGCTGCTTGCTGTTGGACTACAGGCTTCCTGTGTCCCATTTCTGAAATCAGCCTGGTCTCCCAGCTCCCCTACTGTGGGGACAATAAAATTCCACATATTTTCTGTGACTTGCCACCTCTGCTTAGCCTGGCCTGCAAAGAAACATCTGTTAATGTCCTAGTCGACTTTGCTGTTAATTGCTTTGTCGTCCTTGTACCCTTTTCCCTTATTATGACTTCTTATGGAAGAATCATTGCGGCTGTACTGAAAATAAAGTCAACAGCAGGGAGGAAGAAGGCCTTCTCCACTTGTGCCTCCCATCTTATTGTGGTCTTCCTCTTCTTTGGGAGCGTCATCTTCATGTATGTACGGCTAAAGAAGAGCTACTCACCCACCCTTGACAGGACATTTGCGGTGGTCTACTCTGTAGTAACACCCATGGCCAACCCCATCATCTACAGCCTTCGTAACAAGGAACTCATTAGGGCCATCAAGAGGACCATCTTTTGCAAAGAGGACAAAACGAGTCCCTCTCACCACTGACTTTCTGCCAGGGTCCTTCCTGTGCTTCAAAGTCCAGCTGATAAAAGTTCTGTGTGCTTCTGTCCTGACCTTCAAGAATCTTCCCCTCATCATCCACAAAATGGATTCCGTCTCCTCTTACCTCCTCCAATGCTTTGTTTCTGTGTTTGTTTGTTTGTTTTCTATTTTCTACACCTTTACTCATTCTATTTTTTACTTAATCATACCTTCAACATTTAAACATGCTTTAGTGTCTCTATTCTAACAAAAAGGCACACACCTTTCCCTGGATACACATTTCCAGCCAGCTCAGTCTATTTCTCTGCTCCCTTTCCAATCCACCCTCTCAGGTTAACTGATGGCACAGCTACCTCCTGCTCATTCTTCCTGTTCATTTTGCATTCCATTCCAATCTGATTTTGGCTTAGACCTTTAAACCAATCTTTAGCCAAGGTCAGTAAGGATTCTAATCACTACTGGAGTCCACTCCCATGTTAATTACTAATGCTGAGAAAGAATTGCTAATGCATGTAGCATCTTCCTGCTCTCTTCCATCTCCTCCAGTCTTAGTTTTAGTGTAGCAGAACCTAAATATCTACAGAACTCAACTCGCTTCTGTCCACTCCCCAGTTTGTTTTACTCCTAGTCTTATTTTTTTTAAATGGCCACACTATAACCCTTTTATTATGCAGAACCTATAGCTAGGCAGAGAAATACAAAATGTGTAAGATAAATAGTAGGTTACTAATTAAAATATTATTGAAGTATGGCATATGTACAGCAAACTATACTATAGAACACAAATGTGAGACTTAGTGAGTTGAATGAACTCAATGTGTTCACAGATTGAACTCTTTTATGTAGTGAGTTTTCTGATGATAGGAAGCATCTCCAGAAATTTCCCATGTTCCTATATAGTCAATCCTCCTTTTCTCACCCTCCCTCAAGTAGAGTCAGTAAGTGAACAACTATTAATACTGTAGATAGATTTTACCTGCTTTGGTATTTTACATAAATTGATTAAATAATCTATGCTCTTTTGTATGTGATTTCTTTCTTTTTTAAAGTTTATTTATTTATGCATACAAGAACTGGGATACAGGCCAGAGGTGTGGGGTGTGAGGAGATTCACCAGAGACAGAGTGGGGAACAGAACAGGCAGACTGACTGAAATACACTGCTGAGGGGAGCAGCAGGTGAGACAGGAGAGGTCTGCTGTGCCACGTGGGTAGCTCCCTGGTGGAGGCTCTAACTCATGCCGCAGTGGCTGCAGATAGCTTCATAGGTTCTGTCTTAACCTCTTGTGCCACTAGGGAGGCCCAATTCCTTTCTTTTTTGAAGAATAACCTGGTTGAGGTAACATTGCTTTATAACATATCAGTTTCAGATGCATAGCATTTTAATTATCTATCTGTAAGCACTGACTATTGAAAACCACCAAATGACCACGTTCTGTCCATTATCACACAATCTTATGTCTATGAGATTCACCCCTTTTGTCTTAGACAGTTGCAAGAATTCCATTCTCACTGTGTGGAATTCTATTTTGTGACTCTGCCACCATTGATGAACATTTCATTGATTTCCAATTTTCCCCTATTAACACTACTATGAATACAAGCAATATAGCGCTCATATGTTCTCCTTGTGGCTGGTGCATGTCAGGGAGTAGACTCATGGTGACATTGGATATACACCCATTCATCTTTAATGGATATTGCATCAGCAGGACTCATCAAAATATCAGAAAAAAATCCAGCAGAATCATTACTAGATAGGGAATTTTCAAGAGAGAGGTAGGAAGTTTGTTAAGGGTTGTGATGCTTTGTGACAGACATTTGAAAGTAAAAAATTTAAGTAAATTCAGTGCTAAAATTAAATAAATTTCTTGTAATTAGGTAAGATGATTTAATGTTTAATAAACAACATTAGCAAAGGCACAGAAACAAGGAGAGGAAGGAACTTAGGGAGCATTAAGTAGTATGCCTTGAATTTCTTTTTCTCTTATTTTTCCTTTTTTTTTAAGATTTATTTATTTATACAAGCACTGGGTACAGTCAGAAGCACGGGAGGGTGAGAGAATTCACCAGAGCCAAAGCGAAGAGCAGAACAGGCAGACTGACAAAGTACACTGCTGAGGGGAGCAGCGGGCGGCAGCGGGCTGCAGGAGAGGTCTGCGTGTCACGTGGGACCCTCACCAGCAGCCAGGGATGGAACCGACGCTGCAGAGGCTGTGGGCAGCTTCGCAGCCCAGCACTCAACCACTGCACCACCAGGGGAGGCCCTATTTTTCCTTTTTTTAAAAAGATTTATTTATTTATGCATACAAGAGCTGAGGTACAGGCCAGAGATGTGGGAGGTGAGAGTATTCACCAGAGACAGAGTGGGGAGCAGAACAGGCAGATGTACTAAGGAGAGCAGTGGCGAGACAAGAGAGGTCGGCTGCACCACATGGGTCAGCTCCCTGCCCTGGGATCGAATTCGTGCTGCAGTGGCTGTGGACAGCTTCATAGTGCTGTGTCTTAACCCCTTGCACCACCAGGGAGGTCCATTATTTTTCCTTTTTATTTTTTAAAGATTTATTTATTTATGCATACAAGAACTGGGGTACTGGGCAGAGGTGTGAGGGGTGAGAGGATTCACCAGAGACAGAGTGGGGAACAGAGAAGGTAGATCAACTGAAATACACTGCTGAGGGAGCAGCAGGCAAGTCAGGAGAGGTCTGCTGCACGGTGTGGGTCACTTCCCTGGCTGGGGATCAAACTCATGCTGCAGTGTCTGCGTCTTATAGTGCTGTGTCTTAACCATTTGCACCACCAGGGAGGCCTTATTTTTCTTTTTTAAAATTAAGATATATAGGGCCTCCCCTGGTGGCGCAGCGATTGAGCACTGGGCTGCGAGGCTGCCAGCAGCCTCTGCAGCGCCGGTTCGTTCACCGGCCGCCGGCAAGGGTCCCACCAAAAAAAAAAAAAAAAAAAAAAAAAAAATTAAGATATATACACACATGCAGAAAAAGCCACTTTTTTAGTGCAAATCTCTATGAATTTTGACAAATACATATGATATAACCACCACTACACTCAAGAACCAGAACGAGTCTATTAGCTCCAAATCCCTCCAGGTCATGATCCTTTGTAGTCAGCCTCTACACACTTGCAGTCCCTGGCAACCATCAATTCATATTTAGTTCCTATGTTTGCCTTTTCCAGAATATCTAAAATGTATAATCTTTACATTGCTGTCAATGGAATTAAGGAATCTGGTGTCTTTCCTTAGCATAATGCATTTGGAGCTCGCCTGTATTTTTGCATGCATCAGTGTTTTTTTTTCCCTTTGTTGTTGAGTAATATTCACGTAAGTGGACTACCACAATTTCTTTATCAAATCCCTAGCTGAGACACACATGAGTTATTTCCAATTTGCTATAAACATTTGAAGTTGTGAAAATTTATCAGGAAAAGCAAAGGGTATGGCCATTAGGCAGATTTTAGTGCCTTCCCTAGGGGTAGGAATTTCTGGAATTTTGTTATTTTTCTCTTCCTGGTACAAGAAGAGACACCCTAGAAAAAATTTCCCTTAGAAATTTAAATGTCTCCTATATTGACCTGGTTTTCAGAGCTTCTCCTATGACTGTTCTTTCTTAAAAATAATTGGCCTAAAACAGTCCTTATGCTAAAGAAGCATATTTTGGGGTGGAAAATTCTGCTCCCTTCAGCTGGTTCAGTCATCAGGCAGTAAAAAATTACAAAGGGTTGGTCAGTGTAGATGCAGTTAGGCTTTGTCTGTAGGTGGTGATGATCTATGTAATGATCAAGGAGAGTATCTTTATCTTGGAAAATCTGTAGTTCAACATTTGCTCACACACCTATAGAGCTAGGGAAATTGGAAGGGAGTTGGTAGTATTAACAGAGGCCTTTCAAGGATAGAGCATATTCTAATAGCTTCACAGAAAAGAATATATAAAAAATAAAAGAGAAAAGAATAAAAATTTAATCTAAACTTAGTAATTTGGCCCATAATTGACTTGTAGAGATTCAGAAACCTTGAATAAAGATATAATCATAAAATCATAAGTTATTATTTGTAACAATGAGTGAATATATAAAAATATATATTTTCAGTTAAAATAATTTTGACTCAAAATTAAATTATTGGTGATATGGTACACCTTGAAGAGAGACAAATAAAACACAGAGACCCCATAACCCACCTGTGTCAACAGAGTTAGTGCAATCCCTTGTAAGTGTATGCCAGATATATCCCAGCCTGATGAGAGGTAGGGTGCATCTCAGGGGGGGACAAGAAGTACACAGAGATCTGCCCTTCCAGACCCCCAGGGGCCTCAACCCCAACAGTCCCCAGCACCCTAACAGGAGCACCCAGAAGTCATGCCCGCTGGGCCCAGTGGCCGGTGGCCCCATGCATAGAATAAATCCAAAAGCTTACAATCAGGATAATGAACATTACAAATGGTCAAGCAAGCCCTCTTGGGACAGGTAAAAGGAAAGTGGCCCTAATACCCACAAACGTGACACAGAAGAATTTCTCTGCCTGACAAAGAATTCAGAATCACCATAGTTAAAAAACTTAAATATGAGTAAAAGGAAAAGAATGATATGAGAAATAAAATCAAACAACCAAAGAATGAGAATGAATCTTTAAATAAAAAAATAAAGGAACTGCGGGATATGAAAACATCAATGAAGGAGCTAAAGAATTCCGAGAAAAGCCACTAAATTAGAACAAATGAACTGGAAGAATGAGGCAATACTTTCAAAGACACAGATATAAAAAGAACCATAAGCTAAAAGGAGAGTTACAAAGGAAAAGGAATGAAAAAAAACTTTGAGAACTATCCAACATCATGAGTAAAGGGAGTCTGAGTCATAGGAATCCCACAAGGTGAAGAGAAAGACAAAGGAATTGAGAAAATATTCAAGGAAATAATTGAAAATAACTTTCCAGACACGACAAAGGAATGAAAATAGACATACAGGAAGCTAGAACACAATTACTGCAAC